ACATTTGGCGCACCACAAAGTGCTGCAGCGGATGCCACGCTGAGTGGCAGCGAGCTGTGTGCCTGCAGTGAAAAGCAGCATGAAATTGGGGATAACAGGGTTTAGTCTTTAGTTTATGGGTGCAGACAGGTGGGGTATGTTGGGTTGGTTTGTGCTTTGTGGTGCAGTTGAAGTTTTAATGCCACCACTGTGATGTGGAAAACTGTGAGAGAGAAGAAGGGACTAATAAACAACGTGAGCAGAGATTGCATAAAATTCATTTGACTCAATATCACCAAGTACATTTTGTGATTAAACAGCTCGGCTTTTCAAGAAGAAATGCATAATGACTGCTGCCTTTTGTGTCAGAGTGTTGAACTAAGCTCTGTTTATGTTGAGAAATGGGAAACGTTGTAGCAACTTTCAGCAAATCTTGAGCACAATGTTTTGCACAATCTCATGCGAGTCAAAAATATATATTGTAAAAAAATCTTAATTACTTCCACACTAAGTTTGAGCTCAGTATCTCTAAAAATGACCAAGTTATAGCCATTCTTGTGTTTGCTAATAACCTTTTGCTGTAGCAGCCATTGGATTGTAGATTAACTCCAAAAGTTAATCAGTTGTAGATTCATATCCAGTAACTATTTCCTGAAAGTTTTATTAAAATGTATCCAGTGGTTCATGAGATATTTTGCTAACAGATAAACATGGTTTACCCCAAGACTGTTAAAAATATCTTACTTAAAGATTAGCACCTACAATATGTCTTGTGAATGACTCTCAGCTACCACCAAACCAAATTCTATCCCAATTTCTGTAGAATTAACCGAATTATACTCATTTTTGTGTTTTTTAAGTTATGTTGGCTGTCACTGCCATCTTCTTTTGGGTAGGTTCCAAAAGTTAATCAGTTGTAGACTTAAATCCATTAATTATTTCCTGAAAGTTTTATAAAATTTTATGTTTTGATTCTTGAGATATTTTGTTAACAGACAGGATTAAATACAAATAAAAAAAATAATCTTTGACAATTTTTAAGCCTTCAGACTATGTGTCGGTGAGTGATCAGTCTCAGCTACTACCTCACCAAATGTTAGATAAACGTCTGCAAATTTGACTTAGGCCTGTTTGACATGGGCAAAAATTTTTAAAACTCTGTAGCTTGTTCATTATGTGAAATTAATTTTTAAAACACCGCTAAATTAACAGCATTCATAACAAGCTAAACTAGCAATTGTGTCACATTACAACCTGTTTTCCAGCTCTTTCTTTGGTAGACACACGTAGTCGAGAAATTTAGTCAAGAAGTGACAGAAACCTGAGCTCAGGTGGGTTCGCCTTCGTCTCCTGACGTGTTCCCTGCCCCTCTGAGAGTGTTGCCAGTTTATCAGTGTTGACAGCAGAGATTTCATCCACCCTTAGCTCCACTCCTCTTTACCTCTTTTAATCTATTTCCTCCTGTTCCCTATTTCTATTCCTTCCTGTTTCTTAGTAAGAGTCTAACTAATGGGAGTCTCTTCAAAAAGTATTCTCGGATGTATAGGAGGTACCTGCAGTAGCATCCTCTCTGCCCTGGCCTCAGCCCGTTATCATCACTTATAGCATGGAGTAAAACAATAAGACAATCTCCTTTCTTTTTACCAAACCCCACCCCCTTAGTTATTCCCATCCTGGACACGGTTTTGGCTGAGACTGCTCCTGCTGCCTGCTGCCTGTTGAATGCAAACAAGATCCTGTTTTTTTTTTTTAACAAGTCAAAGGGGAATTTAATGAAAACTGGGCGTAAAATATCATTATTAAACAGGAAGGCTTTTGAAATCAGATTTTATATCCTAAACTCCTATTCTTCTGGAGGGGTAAAAGGCTCATTAGCAGGACACTTTGTCATCATCACTCTATGTTTTAAAAGAAAATAAACCTATGGGAAATGTTCAGAGTAATATTTTACCATGTGCAATTTTAATTCCCCTTTATTGTACATGTTTTTTTATTGTTTGTATGGGCCTCATGTTAATATCTTTTACATGGAAAGCACTGACCAGAATCCAGTCTTATTTCACCCAGCATGGACTGGCTGCTATATCTGTCGTAAATACTGGATCACAACTATACGAACGAAAGATGGGCTCGGTCTGACAACATGAAAGCAGAATGATTCATGTTGCTGGACTCTACCTGAACCTGTTGTCTAATAACACAGGTTAGGATCCCATTATAGGTCATAAAGCATCAAGTGGGGGTCCTTAGATCATCCCCCAATATCAAGTTACATTTTAAAATAATTGATTTTGGCATATTCTTGTTATACTGTATATGTCACACAATTTAAAATGAAAGCCATCAGTTATAAAAGAATTATATTGTGAATGTTAAGACAGTTGCATTTATATCCTTGTTTAGTAGGGTTATTATTGATATTTGTATATTTATCGTGGGTAAAATGGGGGTCACAAAACTTTGTTGCTATCCGTTTTATAGCTAAAGTTTGGGAACCACTGCAACAACATGTAATTTGCATATCTTTGACTTTTGCATGCTCCCTGCATGGCTACTGCCCTGATCTTTTTGTTTGAAGCCATCACGAAGGGAAAGAGCTCATCCACCTCAGTTAAAGAAATCCTCTTTATCTTAGTTTTGATTTTAGTCAGGTGTTGTAACTAAACACTGGTGAACATTTTGAGGTCATAAATAGGAAACAGTTCTATTGGTTTGCAGCAATTGTGACAGTCGCAGGCATTCTTTCTGTTCACAGAGAATAAAAACAGTAAAAATCAGGTCTGAAAGTGATTTGAAAAAGAAGTAAATTAAGGGCATTTTAATGGGTTTGAATCTGCATCTGTCTTTCTTGGACTGCTGCACTGCATGCTGGTCTTTGTGCTCATTTCTAGTCATCTACTGCAATGAGTCTGTATTTTTTCTTTTCCCATTTGCACTCACGGATGACCCTAAGGTGGAAAAACTTATCGTTTTAATTTCATTTTATAAAGTTGCTGATATTATTGTCTATTCATTTAAATACTGGGTGAGTGACACCAAGATTTATAATCACGACTAAATAGTGTAGTTATAATCAGAGGTGTATACAGTACTTGAAAAAGATAACTAAGTAAAAGTAACTCAATTAAAAATTACTTTGGTAAAAATGAATTTCATTGATAAGAAAAGTACTTAAAAGGGGGTATTATGTATTATTCAATTCTATACCACAATCAAGTAACTATGTTATTCAGTTGAAATGAAAATGCTGTGCACATTGAAATTGGCCTCTATCTCTTTAAGACCCTCCTGCTGTTTCCAACTCTCCCACTTTATCTCATCTTCACAACGATGCTTCGGGGGAGGGGTGATGCATGGGGCGGGAGCTCGGCCACAGACTGAGTTTAGGGGAGGAGCTTTGTGTAAATAGGCAGTGCTTTGTACCAGCAAGTGTTTAGGCAGCCCCTCGTGGCTACCACAGGAGATTCAAGGATTTTTCAAACATGCATAAACAAGTCAAAACAACACCCTGGGTTAAGGCTGCACAATATATCGAAGATTTATCGTTATCGTGATAACAGTCTGCGCAATATGCATATCGCAAAAAACTGCATAAACTGCAATAAATGGTAGGCTCAAAAGTTTGCCTTTATGAGTTTTGTCACTCAGATGGAAGCATAAAGCATTTCACCAATCAAATAGAGCCCTTCCTTTATTTGGCCAATTGGATGGATCTCTTCATTTTTCTAAAAAAAACAAACATCATGAATGGAAATGATTAGTAATGAATGTTTTTTTTTTTTTGCTCTGAACCCAGAACTGAAAGACATCAACACTACATACTTATGTATTTGTTCATTTATCGCAAGTCATATCGTCATTGCAATATTAAGCACTGATATCACACATCGCAAGTTTTCCTAATATCGTGCAGCGCTACGTTTTGATGAGGGAGCGACATTATAACATGATATAAAGCACAAAAACGTCAATTTTGCATAATACCCCCCTTTAAGCGTCATAAAACTGCTCAGAATAATCAGAAAAGTAAACGTGCTTTCATGCACACTCTTAAGAAATCAAGTATAGTTTTCCCTTAACAAAGATATGTCAACGGTTTCACAAAACCGAGTGAAATAAACTGCTTTACTCAGCTCAGTTTAGTGAAACCATGTTGACATAACTTGGTTAAATGAATAAAACCCTTCATTTTTAGAGTGCATAAACAACTCCCTTAATGAGTTCTGGTCATGTTTAAATTTAAATGAAGTTTAATATTTTACAGTAAAGAAGTGCAAGTGTTATTTTTACGTTTTGAATATAATGAAATAAGTTACAATTTAGAAATAAATCACTTTGTAAAATACATATCCTCAAAAAAATGACTTGTACTTCATTATCATACACCTCTGGTTGTAATACAAAGACTTAGACACAAAGCAGAAAAGTATTACATTTTATTTGCAAAATATGATGAAGATTTTTTTTTGTTGTTGAAACAGCGTGCAAAGAACTCAAACGTTTGAAATGGTAGCTTGAGGAGGGAGATATAAAAACAAACTGTGCAATGGAGACTATCATGTGGTTTTAGGAAGCTTCGTTTTAATAATGGGATCGTTTGTTTAATGTCAGCTTTAAATAAAAGATGTGATAATGTGATGATTTGTTAATGTTCCGTGCTTCGCTTATCACCTTTAAAAATCTCATTAGGTTTGGTCTGAGCATTGGCTACACTATCAGCTGATCAGGTGAGATTAGTTTTGGTGGCTTGGCAGTCAGTCCAGCTCAGAGTTTTGGACAGATGTGGTTCAGTCTAAAGGAAAAGACGGCCTTTGTCTGCACTCTGAACTCTTTCTTGCTTTCTGAAGGAAAATGCTTGTTGACAGCATCCCTTTTATTTTCTGTTCCTTTCTCCTTGTGCCCCTCTGATCCCCAACCACTAGAAAGCGTACTCTTTCTCTGTCACCTTTGTTCTATAACTCATTTTCTCCATCACTCCCTTTCCTCTCTTCCCCGGTCTACTTTTTTTGTTCCGTCCTCAGTCAGAAATTGAGCTTTAAGGAGCGGGTCCGGATGGCGAGTCCTCGAGGTCAGAGCATGAAGAGCAGGCAGACGTCCGTCAGTGAGCGCCAGCGCTGCTCCCCTGGCAATGAGGTGGTGGGCAGCAGCGAGCTGATAAGTGGGAGCCCCGCCAAAGTGCAGAAGAGCTGGAGCTTCAACGACCGGACCCGGTTTAGGCCATCGCTAAGGCTGAAGAGCCAGACCCGCACTGCTGCTCTGGATGGTGAGCAGTTCCTCACACAACCAAAATTTCTTAGTTTCCAAAATGGTATAACACAAAAATCTATTTTAAAAATAGTTTTTGAATCATAGACATACATATTAGACTAAGGCTACGTTCACACTGCAGGTCTGCTCATAGATTTTTTTTTTGGCACCTCCATCAAACTCCAGTGTGAACGCTCCATGGAAAGACATGATGTCACATTCAGCTCGCTGTTTGTTTACAAAGTTAGCTAAACATGCCACTTTTAGCATGTCGAATCTGAAGTTGCTGTTCATTCAGAACTGATTAAATAATTATTCGACATGCTTATTTAGTTTAGTGTTTACATCCGAACGTGCCTCTGACCGTGGTGAGGAATTTTATTTCTGGAAGGAAATGCTGGAAGTAAAGTGTGAAACTTTAGGATCGATACGGTTTGCGACCAAAGTTGGACGTTTTTATCCTATGTTTCTGCGGATTCCTGGTCAACCAGGACATGGACAATGAAAAGAAAAAAAGACAAAACACCTGGGCATCTGTTAGCTGTAGACGTGTGGAGCTACAGATTTAAACAGCGTGACTCGAGGTTAGTTCACCACCCCCACCTCACTAATGAACAAGTCAAATGTAATGCATCATGTGCGTTCCTGCAGTCACTTTGAAAAACATCAGATGCGTATTTGATTCAGTACCACATGCTGAAAATGCCTGGGTCGGATTTGTAAAAAATCTGATTTGTCACGTTCAGACCGTCATAAAAAAATCAGAAATAGGTCGTGTGGGGCAAAAAAAATCTGATTTGGGTTGCATTTCCCTGCAGTGTGAACGTAGCCTAATAGACAAAGTGCGCTGCCTTTTGTTGTTGGGAGTTAGAGCCAGCAGGACTCAGTTTACAGGAGCTGCCATGTTGGATTAAAACCAGAATTTGCACACCAGAGAGGTTTAGGTCCCACCTCCTCCACATACAATCATGTTACCACATAAGCTTTATTTTAAAAGTTAAACTAATTATAGCTTAACTTATTAGAAGAATAATTGTTTAAATAAGGTGAAAACCTTATTAATAACAAGAATAAACACTTGAAAAGTGTCCCATTTGTTTACACAGAGGGGGCGGGACATAAAACCTGTCCTGTTTTGGCTTGAACTTCTGGGTTCCGGTTCAGGATCTACTTTTTATTTATCATCGATGTGGTTTGAAAAATTCTTCTAAGTTTTCTTCCATTTTGGCTTAGATTTTGATGGCTTTTATAGTGTAATGTATAGTGTGTTGTTTTTCAAATAAACATGTTTTTACATGATAATGTGACCCAGATCTTAAAGACAGAAACTGGCAGAAATATTCCTAAGACTTGCATTTTTATGTAAACATTTTTACATTTTCAGGGCCATTACACTTTGTAAAGTGCAAACATGTGGGACTGAGCTGTTTTAATGTATTGACTTTAGATTTCTTACAGGAAAAATTGTCTTATTTCTGATCCATCTGGACTGGATATTAATAATTTATGGAATAAGAAAAAATACCAGAGTGGTTCAGTCTTTTTTTCTTATTAAAGCAGCTAAAACAGTGAGTTCAATGCAAATTTCCCCTAAAGGACAATGAAGCGTATCAAATTGTATTGTTTTGTGTCACATTTTTAAAGAGACTTCTCTAAACGTTGTTAATATTTATTATCCTCCCTGCAATCTCAACATTGTTCTCAGTATAATAAATATTACACACCTGTTTAATGTTTTTTTGAACCCAGTAAGATATATTACATGATGGAAAAATCTCTCAGCAGACCTCAAGTCATAAATTTTTATGGGTTTTTTTTTTCTTTTCAATTTCTGCTTCAGCAATTTTTTTATTTATTTTATTTTTTGCTCTTTGATAAAAAGCATAAATTTCTTTTGAACTAAGAGATCATATATGCCAAAGCACTTATTCCTTACAACTTCCAATAAATTCTACAAGGAAAACAACTGACTGCTGTTTTTTCCGCATATCTTTTAGTTTTAATAGTTTGATCTAATTTTTGTAACCATTTAAATGAACTATAGCTTTACTGAGTGCCATTTGGTCTTACCTTCCAATTTCATTATCATTAAAAATATTAAGGTTATAGATACGTTATACCCTCTTCTATCATCTTAAAATAGCTAAGTTAACAAAAAAAAAACAATTCCAGGAGTTTTCATCCAAACAGGACATAAATTTTCACATCCTAACAGCCAAAACTGTATCAGCTTAAAACATTCTTGAAATTTCCTGTAAAGATTCATGCGGAAGAAAGAGTTTTATAAGTCTTAAGACTGGAAACTATTTTTCACGGGCCTGCGCTGATTGATGAAACGATGTTCTGTCTCATGCAGTGGACGGAGGCATGACCACGGATGACTCCTTTGATGAGAAAGGCTGCCATTGTGACGTGACGGTGGAGGATCTTTCAGCTCCGCTAAAGGCTGTCATCAGAGCCGTCAGGTAATAATTCTTATTAACGCCGTTAAACTTTTTTTTTCTGATTGTTTCAATATGTGGCTTTTTAGAACAGAGAAAAGATTGATTTTTAATTATTGTATTTCATTGATTTTAGCAGTGATATTGACAGTAACTGTCGTTTGTCACTGATCTGATCAAACCGTGTCTTCATTTATGAACTGATTGTTTATTGGTTGCGTTAGTTCTATTTGTTTGCAATTATACGTATATACGAGCTCAATATTTCATAGTTTTTACGACTAATATCTATTGGCCATTAAACTGCATAACATAACTCATCTACTATTTCAGTTATTTATTACATGATTGAAAAGCATGTTTATTCATGAGGGTTATTAAACAGAAAGATAGAAATTTTTACCAAATCTTCTACTCTTAACATGCTACAAGCACCCGATGAGCAAGTGTTTACCCAACTAGTGCTTCTTTTCATCTTCTTCAAAGTTTTACTGGAAAAAAATTGTGTTTGATCTCCTCATTAGAAGAGTATTTCTACATAAAAGGTTAAAGTTTTTCAGAGGGATTGACTAGTTTTTAATGTCAAAGATAATCCAAATATCCAGCACTATACAAAAGTTTTAAACTACATCCTTTTTTTAAAAATTTGCATCCATGAAACCAGATTTTCTTGTCTTCCTATAAAGTGGTATTGATCTGGGTCTCCAGATTTTCTCAAAGTATTTAAAGGTTTTTGTGTGTATTGGCTGCTTTTTTTATTTTTTTATTTTTTCACCTGACCATGACAGTGCAGGACACTGTGGTTGTGTGTGCGGGAGTGGGTGGGAGTTAAAGCCCCACATCCTTACTGCACAGACTCCGGTTCCAAAAATCCAACATGGCAGCCCTTCAGATCTTTCCAGCTTTCAGTTTGAACAACAAGATTACACTTTTTCCATTTTCTAAACAATGCCGTTGATACAGAGGTATCAAAAGTTGTTGTTTTTGGATGAGATGTGTAAATGCAGCAAATATGTATTTATTTATTTATTTATTTATTTATTTATTTATTTATTTACTTTCCACATTGAGAACAAGGCTCAAAAGTTTATTAAAAAGTCTGAATTTTTTGGAAGCAAAATACAAAAAAATGAGGGGTGACTTACATTTTTTTGCCCATTATTATAGCAAAGAGGTCTAAGAACGGACAACAGTGGCCGGCAGCAGGAGTACTTGGAGCTCCCACTGAAGAGATCCTACAGAAAATCTCACTTCATACTTTGATAGAAAGGTGTCAACACATTTCCTCTGTGCACCTGCAAAATGTTCAAGGTGCTTGTTCCCCATGTACCTACACTCAGAGTGCCAGAACTGAGCCCCAAATCAAAAACAAAACACAGCATAGTCTGGTAAACCTTTACTTAAGATGCGTGTGAATTTGGCAGATGTAGCAAACGAAACTGAAACAACAACAAGTTGTTGGTTTGACAGTGAATGATTTGAATTTGAATTCAAGCAGCACTTATGAACGCTTCACAATCTCCTTCTCTTTAAAAAAGCGATACACAAATGTACACTCTGTGCCATCTATCCTCAACTCAGCAGGCCTGCTCCATGGACAGCCAGAGCCTGGTGCTTTCCCAGGGTTTCAGGTTCAGGACTGGGCGCCCCCCTCATCTGTCAGAACTGTTGTTGCAGAGAGTCGACTGTCGTGATTGTTTTACACTGTGAACAAAACAGACAAGCAGGGACCATCAGGGAATCTAAACGAACTAAGAACACAGATATCCTTACTTGTATCAATATTATGCACCAGCGGTGTCTTAACTCTAATAAATACAGCAAGGTAGAAAATTACACTTGAGTCGTTCATTTTGATAGTTTAGAAATTTACACTAGAACAAAAAGTCATTGGTCACATTCAATTCTTCATAAAGTATTTCAGATTAGACATTTTCTGTATTAAACTCTAAAAAGTGATGAGTAGTTTGGTCTCTTTGGAATCATTTTTTGTTTTCTACTGCTATCTACTGGTAGATACTCACAGTTGCACCCGTATCTCCTGTCATCTCCTTAATGTTTTGCTGTTGTGTTTTTCATCGGTATTTACAGGTGCTGGTCATAAAATTAAAATATCATGAAAAAGTAGATTTATTTCAGTAATTCCATTTAAAAAGTGAAACTTGTATATTATATTCATACATTACATACAAACTCATATAMTTCAAATGTTTATTTCGTTTAATTTTGATGATTAGAAATGACAACAAATGAAAATCTCAAATTCAGCATATCAGAAAATTAGAATATTACTGAAGACCAATAAAAACAAAGGATTTATAGAAATGTTGGCCAACTGAAAAGTATGAACATGAAAAGTATGAGCATGTACAGCACTCAGTATTTAGTTGGGGCTCCTTTGGCCTGTATTACTGCAGCAATGCGGCGTGGCATGGAGTCGATCAGTCTGTGGCACTGCTCAGGTGTTATGATAGCCCAGGTTGCTCTAATAGTGGCTTTTAGCTCTTCTGAATTGTTGGGTCTGGTGTATTGCATCTTCTTCTTCACAATACCCCATAGATTTTCTATGGGGTTAAGGTCAGGAGAGTTTGCTGGCCAATTAAGAACAGGGATACCATGGTCCTTCAACCAGGTACTGGTAGCTTTGGCACTGTGTGCAGGTGCCAAGTCCTGTTGGAAAATGAAATCTGCATCTCCAAAAAGTTGGTCAGCAGCAGGAAGCATGAAGTGCTCTAAAACTTCCTGGTATGTGGCTGCGTTGACCCTGGACCTCAGAAAACACAATGGACCAACACCAGCAGATGACATGGCACCCCAAACCATCACTGACTGTGGAAACTTTACACTGGACTTCAAGCAACGTGGATGAAGTGCCTCTCTTCTTTTCCTCCAGACTCTGGGACCTTGATTTCCAAAGGAAATGCAAAATTTACTTTCATCAGAGAACATGACTTTGGACCACTCACCAGCAGTCCAGTCCTGTTTCTCTGTAGCCCAGGCAAGACGCTTCTGACGCTGTCTGTGGTTCAAGAGTGGCTTGACACAAGGAATGCGACAGCAGAAACCCATGTCTTTCATACGTCTGTGTGTGGTGGTTCTTGAAGCACTCACTCCAGCTGCAGTCCACTCTTTGTGAATCTCCCCCACATTTTTGAATGGGTTTTGTTTCACAATCCTCTCCAGGGTGCGGTTATCTCTCTTGCTTGTACATTTTTTTCGACCACATCTTTTCCTTCCCTTCGCCTCTCTATTAATGTGCTTGGACACAGAGCTCTGTGAACAGCCAGCCTCTTTAGCGATGACCTTTTGTGTCTTGCCCTCCTTGTGCAAGGTGTCGATGGTCGTCTTTTGGAAAACTGTCAAGTCAGCAGTCTTCCCCATGATTGTGTAGCCTATAGAACTAGACTGAAAGACCATTTAAAGGCCTTTGCAGGTAGTTTGAGTTAATTAGCTGATTAGAGTGTGGTACCAGGTGCCATCCATTTTGAACCTTTTCACAAGATTCTAATTTTCTGATATGCTGAATTTGAGATTTTCATTTGTTGTCATTTGTAATCATCAAAATTAAACGAAATGAACATTTGAAATATATGAGTTTGTATGTAATGTATGAATATAATATACAAGTTTCACTTTTTAAATGGAATTACTGAAATAAATCTACTTTTTCATGATATTCTAATTTTATGACCAGCACCTGTATATATATATTTGCACAGGATTATGAAATTCCATGTGGCGAAGAAGAAGTTCAAGGAGACGTTGCGCCCGTACGATGTGAAGGACGTCATTGAGCAGTACTCAGCAGGACACCTGGACATGCTCTGTCGCATCAAAAGCCTTCAAACCAGGTCAGGAAATTCTGGACGTGGCACAAAAACATGCATATTATTCACTGTACATTTTTATATCAGTAACATATCAGAGTATCTGCTTTACAGGTTCTTATTATTTACATAGTTAAGGATAAATGTGACATTTTCTGCTTACTGTGGAAGTTTTTTCTAAAATATTTTTAAACAAGAATTTCTGCAGATGGTTTTTTATGTATGATCACTTCAAGGAAACTTAATTTGAAAATTTTTCTTTCTGTTGTAATGTTAGAATTTTGGCAGAGCACATGTATGTGTACATGTCTTTTTTTTTCTCCCAGACTGGACACTGTTGTGGGCCCCCCTCCAAGGCCATTTAGGGGCCGGGTCAAGAACTTTTCCTCTCCTTCTCTGCCTTCATATTACAGCCATGCTCAAAGGAAACAATCGCCAGCTGGGTTAGACCTGCCTTGCTCTGATGTTTTGTTTTGTTTTTGCCAGCTGCACGCGTTAACACGTTTGTTCAAATAAAAGTAAAAACATCTTTGCTTGGAATTAACCATTCTTTGTGTGCATTTAATACCAGTCGTTTCCTTTTAAAATGAATTCTCTCGTTTAATTTTGTATTTTATATGTATAAATAACGAAATGCCTCATGTTAATAAGTGCTTCAGTAATTTGATATTTTTCATTGGTTTTTATTAAAACTTGTTAATTTTAGAGGCTTGGTTGAAATAACTTGATTGAAGAAGACTGGTTTTCTTTATTGCACAATACTAGGCACTAGTAGAGCCTTGGTGTGTCTAAGCCTTTTGTTTTGTTTTAACTGGTTATTCATGTTTCTGCCCAGCACCTGTGTGAGTGGGGAAAAGGCCAGTGTGGAATTTCATTTATAGTTTTGGTTTTCATTAAAGTTCTTGTGAAGGCACCGGCTTGTTAGTGTGGTTTACTCATAAGGAATGTGTTTATATTTTCCCGTAAAAACAGAATTAGTGACGGCTAACCTGCTCTCAGTAAGGCGAGCTCTGATTTGCTAATTTCAGTGGGGTGATGATGCAACACCTTTATTGCAATGCTGGAGTCAAGTGTGATGCATCCTAATGTTGTTTTTATTTACCGTTATTTTACCAGGCAAATCCCATGTTTTAGGTTTGTTCTCTGACTGGATCATTTGAACTGATGGCATGCACGCCAACTTATGTTACAACAGCGTCACTCTAATTAAATAACATGTATGTTTGTGTTTTTGTGTATCAGGGTGGATCAGATTTTGGGGAAGGGACAGATTCCTGTGGATAAGAAGCCAAGAGACAAACTGCACCCAGACGGAGATTCACTGGAGGGCATGAGCATGCTGGGGCGAGTGTGTAAAGTGGAAAGACAGGTATGTTTATAGTGGGTATAAAAAATACAATTAAAAAGTTTCCAATGGGAAAAGTTTCCAAACAGAATTATTTCATAT